TATGCCGATCCCACTTTAGGTCATCTTTTATTAGCCAAGAAACGTTCCGAGCGCCTGTGGGCCACACAGGTACATGTGCAGTGTCAATCACTCGGGCCATATTGTGTTTAGTACAAAAGCGGCTGCGAGTAAATGGACGTCGGATCGTCCTGACAACCCTGGTCACCCATGTATCGTCCGGTCCGGCAGTCTGTACTTTGTTAGGAATCAAATCACAATCAACAACACTCGCAGACCATTAACACATAACCCTGACGACTTCAACTGCTGGCGCCATAAATGCACTTCCTAAACCACCTGAAATTGACGATGGTGGATTGCATCAATTCGGTGAATGCATATAAATTTATAGTATTAAAAAAATCACTTACAAATCTAACAAAAACACGGTGGCGTCTCTATTTGTTATGTGTCTTCGGCGCAGTGTCGTCGAGTCGGCGTCCGGCTCATCTCTGTCAGGGATTGCGTCCAAGAGACGGGCTTTCAAGCGATTTAAACGCAGAGACTGGTCGCCAACGTCAACATCTTTTACGAAGCGTTTTGCTGGTTTCTTACTCGTTGGTACCACCTCGGGTGAGAAAAATGTTCGTTTTTTTCTTTGACGGCCAACTCGAGATGTATCTGAGTCCGCCATTATAGCACACTCCAAACACTGGAACAAGAGAAACGGAAGTGAGAGCGCCGCCAGTATTTGGAGTGCGTCATTTTTTTTATTTACTTATTGACTCTTACACAATACAAGGAGGGAAAAGAAATGGTCACAAGGTAGAAAAAAAAATAGAAAACAACATGCTAGATAACAAAACACAATCACCAAATTACTAAATAAATACAAAATCACTAAAATACCAAATAATGTAAGATTACTAAAATATTGAAAAAAAAGGTAAAATTTGTCATAACAGGAAAAAGAAGTAAAAGTTAATATTATTGAAAATATTTGTACGCAACGTATTATCATCTTGAATTTTCAAGGTGAATGTTCCGGCGAAGCACTCCACTATCACCTTGAAGTATTTCATTAGGACTATGTGTATGTGACAATGCCCTCACAGTTTAGAATCAGTTTAACAACACAGCCAATCATATAACTTCTTTCTTCAACGCGCTTGGCCAAGCTATCAAAATCTTCGAGGCGGAGCTAAGTCAAAAAACGCGCACCACTCTACCATGTATTTCTATGGACTCTGCACGAGCTGCTGTGCACTGACCAAAAAGCCGGTGAAAATAGCTAAAA